ATTCTATGATTCTATGATTATTGGTTATTTCTGTATACGGGTATAGGATTTGGGAAATACAAAAATACACAAACTTTTTCCAGGCTGTACAGCTGCTCTGCTACAGCTTTTCAGCTCTCCAGCTGTGTGGCAAGTGCAATTTATCATGTAAAAAGGCATCCAAAAAGAAGGCCAAGATTCAAAACTAGATTGGTAGGGAGAAGAAAGATTCCCCCCCTCCTCCCCTCCCCTCCTTCCCCTCTTCCTGCTAATCATTAGCTCGATTTCCTCCTCTCTTCAGGATGAGCAGTAATAACCAAAGACTCCTCTGAGTTCTGGCTTGAGGTAACTGACTGATATAGAGCCATTTCCATCGTTAAATCTCATAGCTTTAGGTTGATCATGATCAGATAGTTTAATCTCACTTAATTTTTGTGGAACTTGCTCATCTGAGTAACTCTTAACAGTTTTGAAAGTGGCTTGCTTGCTCTGGCTTTAAAAGGATTTCAAACTGTAGAGGCTTTTTCTAAGAAGGTGGTATGTCCAGCCCAGCAATGGTGTGTACTTGAACATTCATTTCGAGCTCTGGCCACTCAATTAGGCAGCTACTTGAATTTTGTGACACTTGCTCTGTGGTCACTACCTGTGTAGGGGTATTTAGGCAATATCCCTGTTTTTTTAGGACCTGTTTTTTTTAAGAATGACTCCTGGCTGTATGGAATCTATTTGTCTATTTTTACGCAGTTAAACAGTGTTCCTTCAGTGGTGCTTCACAACAAAAGAGCTGTTGTTTGTAAAACTAGATGAAGTACATGGAGAACCTCTCTTTCAATTAAATGGGAGTATAAAAACTCTTGCTGATCCTGCACCAGTGAAAACAGGTCAGAGGTGGTGACAAGCTTGTGTCTAGGAGTAGATGTTAGAGCTGTCCGTGCTTGAAGACAAGAAAAATATGGTAAGGTGGAGGGAGCAAAGAGAAATGACTGAAAGGAACCTTTATCTTTTTTGAATATAAATAATAGCATAATACTACTGGGTTGTGAAGTTGTTTTTTTTTTAAAGATTAATGGCGGCTTAACAATGCTGAAGCACTTACGTTGTTGTTTCTGTCAGCAAACAACTCAAAGAGCTGGAGGAGTCGGGATCCCTGAAAGGAGCTTTGGGTGCGGAGCAGCAGTTGGCGCTCATTAGCATCTGCACAGACCTGAAGGCAGCAGTAGAGGGTGCTACGTTCATTCAGGTAAGCAAAGATTTGACAACTAGCAAACGGGTTAGAAATGATCAAGAGCTGTGCTGCGCAGTGATGAGCAATATCCTGACCACATAAGGATGGCTGTGCTTGTTAATTTTAATGTTCTTTCTAGCCTACTATCTTGACGTGGGCGATGATGCCCGTTTGCAGGATTTCCCTACTCGAGTCCTTGCAAGTATCTTTTGGGTTATATTGGAAGAGGCTGGTGGCTGGCTAAACCAAGAGAAAACTGCTGACCTCCATGTGTAACAAAGACCGTAGAGAGATTATATCTTGGGGAACACCATGCATTCTAGTTCTGGGACTAAAATGTGTTTCTTCCTCTTCAGGTACCTCGGGAAGGCAGGGAGTATAGCTATGCCCAGGGGTGACTTCTGTTCTGACTGTGGGGGAGCACCGTAGCCAGAAGCAGCTATCCAACACAATATTAAAAACAGGGTTGATATATATAGGGCTGGAATCTGTGCTGCTAAGTAAAATCAGGGTGTAGAACAAGCTGTATTACTGAACCTGATAGTCTGTAGCTGCTTAACTATTAGTATGCTCACTGGCATGGGCATAGTTCAGGGAATAGGTGAATCAGGGACCAGTTCTGGGATAAAGTATGAATGAGTTTGTGTTGGACTTGGCATCTTCTACCATACATAGTCCCCCAGTATTATTCCAGTGCTGTAACATTAACTGTCCCTACGTGTATGTATGCTGGACCCAAGAATTTACAATTTATACTGTTTCAGGCTGTAAATCCCACAGTCAGCTTCACTGCAACACTTACCTAATAATAAATTGAATTAAAAGGGGGCAGATTTCCATACCTTTTCTTCCTACTAAGTTGGTGAGGTGGAGGGGGAGAGAATGGGAGGCAGAGCAAGTCTCACCCAGGAGTCAAGGTGTGATTTTGCTATAGATTTTTACAGTGGTACAGTGTCTTGGGTTCACTTCCTTTTCTCCAGATCATGACTGTTAACCCAGTATCTTACTCCTTCATCAGTAACAAGCTTGGAGTTTGTCAGTTCATATTGTTTTCACATATGTAGCACATACCTCTACTGAGTTTAATCTGTGGATTTCTTGTCTAGTCATTCAGTCCTTTAAAGTCTTCCTGCAATGTCTGCAGTTGTAATGATGACAACCAACTTAATTTTATGAGCTAGCTTTCAGGGTATTTATGAATAGATACAATGAAGGGCACAGATATCTGTGAAACAACACTGGTCAGCATCTTCCACTGAGTAAGAACTGACTGTTTTTCCTACTGTCTGCTTACTATCTCTTTACCAGTTCCTGTCCATGAAAGGACCTTTTATCGCACATGTGACCAGTTAAGTTCCTTGGAAGCTTTTATTATTTCTTTGTTGCAAGACTTCTGGGCATTCACATGGACTGCATCAGCTACATGACTCCTGTGCTTGTTCCTTACTTTAGAGAATTCCACTAGGTCTGTGAATCAGGACTTTCCTCTGAAAAAAGATGCTTTGATTCATCCTCATGAATGTAATGCTATCTGGTACTTCCCTTTTTTCTTAGCCTTATGTCTCTATCAAACAAGTTTACTGGCTTACTGTTGAGCTCTGTCCTGAAGTTCTCTTAAAAGTTGCATCATGCTTGCCACTCTTCTGCTCTCTGGTACCAAAATAGCATACATTCAGTTTGTTTCAAGTGAGCAGTTGTGTCTTACTGTGCTGAGTATTCAAACTATATTAAAACATGTCCTAGTACCTCAGATCTGTTTCCCCTCTCCTCTGTTCTATGATTTGAGGCACACCCTGGGACTTCCCAGGACTAAGGATTCAGTTTTCTTCAAGGATTAGGAGAAACAGAATAGGGGCAAAGAAATCACTGTTCTGTGTGTGTTTTCCAGATGATTATCCTTCTGTACTCTATCTCCTGGTCCTATGCATTCTTCTTGTCCATACATCTTGAAGAAAGAAGGGAAATATTTTTTTTTATTATTATTCCCCTCATAAATTGTGAGGGGAGTGTGTGCCTGCTTTGTCTTATTTAACAAATTAACAATCCTACATGGCCATGCTCATTTGGGTACTGCTTCAACTTTGTGAAGGCTCTCCTAGTTCTGCCTGGTGTTTTTTTGCACTTTCAAGTGTTTATTACTACCTGGTATGTCCATATAGTGTCTTTACTTTCTTGCTATGCTATCTGTAAAGATCTGATCCTTCTTACTGCCAACTTTGCACCTCGTTACTATCCTCGCTTTTATTTCAGTATCTTCTTTTGAAGCTAAGTGCAGCTGTCATGGAGTTTGACTCTTGTTGCTTTTACAGAGATGCTGAATCTCTGTATGCTGTTGTTCCTCTTAGGCTCTTCAGCAGTAAATTTTTTCAACAAGGTTCTGCATGCTATTTAATCTTAAATTGGGGCCTGCATCATCCATGCCTTCCACCATCAGCTGGTCTGTGAAACAGGCATTGGGCGAATGTTGCAGAATCAAAGTAATTTTGAGTTGGAAGGGACCTGTGGGAGTCATCTGGTCCAGCCTGCTGCGGATCAACTATATCAACTTGCTCAGGATTTGTGCAGTTGAGTTTTGGATATCTCTAACAATAAACAAACACTTCTGGTCTCTTTGAGTAACTTATTACAACAGTTGATTGCCCTCATTGTTAAACTTCTTTCCTAATATCTAATTGGAATTGTAGTGACAGGACAAGGGGTAATGGGTTTAAACTGAAGGTGGGTACATTTAGATGAGATATGAGGAAGAAATTCTTCACAAAGAAGATGGTGAGGCACTGGGACAGGTTGCCCAGAGAAGCTGTGGATGCCCCATCCCTGGAAGTGTTCAAGGTCAGGCTGGATGGAGGCTTTGAGCAACCTGGTCTAGTGGAAGGTGTCCCTGCCCATGGCAGGGGGGGTGGAACTAGATGATCTTTAAGGTCCCTTCCAACCCCAACTGTTCTGATTCTGCGAATTACCTTTTTTGCCCATCGTACTCCCACCATGGATCCCTGAGAAGAATCTGGCTTCTCTGTGTGCTCACTTCAGGTTGTTGAAGACTGCTTTCTTGTGTTGATAGTCCCTGAATAGCAACAATCTATTTGGGGTAACTCAAGCTTTCTGGTTTCCTTAAGCCTTTTGATCTTTCCTAACATGTAATCATTCCGCATCTAAATTAAAAAAAAAAAAAGCAGCTGCAGTATGGCTGTGGTAATAAATCATATGTGTGAAACACTGCTGGTGGTATTCATATCAGCTCATTGGTTTATCAAATTTTTGTTTGATACAAATGTTAACAAAAACACAATGTAGGTGGGCAAATTATTTGAACTAGCCTTTAATTTGCTCTTGGAAGAGGAGTGGAGTAGATATAAAAATCTTAATTCTCGTCTCACAGCCTTATTTCAGCAATGAGCAGACTACTTTCGGAAGTTTAATATGGTTCAGCCAGAAACATTGCCTACTGCAGCTTTGAACCTGGACTAATTGTGATTTATGAATCTAAGTGTGGCTTTTAGTTACTTAAAAAATAAAACATCAGTTGCATTAATGTTAGTTGACTATAAAGGACTTTATTTTCTTGCTTAATGATATAACCTACTGATTAACTTGTTAGAAGATTTCCACGAGAACTTCATTTCTTTACCCTAGATTTCAGTTGGTTAAATCTTAACTTGCTGTCAAATTTGGCCTTTGTAGAGTAAGTCTGCTTCAGGCTTTAACAATGTCCTTGATGTCTGTGGTTCTTGAATGAATTCTGCAGACAGTTGCCTTCTATGCCCTTTTAATGGGACATAACTTAAAACAGGTGTAGTGAAGTAGTAAAAAGTGGAACTTCTTAAATGACGTAGTCAAGATGTAAAAGGGAAAAAAGACACATTAAATAATTGGAAGGACTGAGTAAGAAGAAAATTCCTAACAGTAATGTCATGAACCTTTAAAAACAATATATGCCTCAACGCACATTACTTCATGTATTTCATCTCCTGAGCATTTTTATCAAGTAACTTGTCTCGATTAGTGTGCTTTGCATCAACTTTGGAAGGAAATCAGTCTGCTTTTGGCACTAAAGCTAAATATTCTCTCAGTTTCACTTCTCCTAGCTTTTCTATGCTACTTAGAGTAATTGCATAACCTATTGCTTTTGGGTGAATGTTCACTGCAGGCTTCCTGCATCTTCAAATGCTTTAATTCTGAAATAACTTCTTCCATTAGCTGAAAACTCCATTGAGAGAAATTAATGGATGTATTTGTGCTATAATGTCCCTGGCATGGCACTGTCTTGGGTGAGGTAAATGTTTCTTAACATTGTGCTCTTAACTTTCCTGCATAAATATATGATGACTTTTGTCTTTTGTCCATATGTGACTATTGGGTACTGAACTTGTTAGTTACTGCTATTAAAACCAGGATTGAGTGGATGTGTGTCTAGTTCCTTAATAATACAAGCTGAATAGGAATCAGTGCAGCACTTACATGATCTCCTACTGCAATGCTGGTTAAATGAAAACATACTTTTTCAAATGCTTCGCTTTGGAACAATTTACTAACAGAATTATTACTAGCTTGCAGTGGAGGATGAGATGACTAACCATTGGTACGATCTTACTCTTGCCACTTGAGCGACTGTGTATGCTGGTGAGTTGGGAGGCCTGGCTGGGCTGGCTGAAGCTATGCATGGGTGGTGGCTGAGAGATGATCTCTGAACCTGTCAGCATGCTGTGGCATGGGACAAAGCAGATTGCCAAGGGGATGAAATTAAGTTTGTAACTTAGACCTCATTTACCATAGCCTTAGAATGGTTGTGTTTTGTGGTTGTTCGTTTGGGTGGGGTTTTTTGGTGTTGTGTTTTTTGTGGGGTTTTTTTTGTTTGTTTTGTCTTTTCCCCCTCTTTTAAAAAGAGGGTATACCTGCCCTGTTACACCTGCAAACTCTTGAACAGGTCATAACACTACTGATGGATCTTCAGCCCAGTCTCTCTTGGGTCTTGTTGGCTCTTCCATCTCTCCCCGTTAAACATTTGGAAAAATAGT